TTTTTTTTTTAAGAAAATAACTCATATTTTAGATATTTGGAAGAAAGGTTGTAAAATAAAGCAACTACTTGAAAATGGGGGAAAATACTTTCCTAGATAGTTCTGGGTCAAAAAATAAATGAAAACTCTGCTAAGAGACCACTTAGAAACTTGATATGATGATGGGACTATATATAAATGATAGGATGCAGCCAAAACTGTACTTAAAAGAAAGGTTTTTAGCCATAACGTCTTTAAATGTTTAATGAAGAAGAATGGAAATAAATGAATTGAGCAGTCAATTCAAGAAGCTTTAAAAAGTACAGTGGATAATATTAGCTGACATTTATAGAATAGTTCTGATATGGTTGGCATGGTTCTGAGCGTGGAATAACTCATGTAATTCTGACAACACCACTGTGATATGGGTCCTGTTATCACTGTCATTTTCCAGAGAGGAAGCTGAAGGATAGGAAGTTGAGGTAGTGTACCTAGTCTTAGAGTTCGCAAATGATAGACAGGATGCACACCTGGCCAGCAGACTCCGGAATTCGCATTCCCAACCAATAAGTAACACAAATACAAGTAAGCACTACAATCACAGACACATAGAACAAAAAACGTTAAAGTAGCAATTAATAAAGTAGAATAAAACCAGGTAGAGTTGATCCATAGAATCATAATCTGCTTCCTTAATGTGATGGAATGATAAAAATAGATGAGAAAGAACACAAACTTCTGGAAAAAAAATGAGAGACGACCTAACAATATAATATGAGGAAAGAAAGAGAAAAAGTGTGATATCATCCCAGATAAGATGCTACAATTTAAACACACTGAGAACACTGTGGATAATTTCCAAGGAAAAGATACGTTCTAAAAATTAGTTTGAGTACAGGTGGAAAACTTTCCTGTGTGGTTAATGTGTAGAGAAGGAGAGGGAGGTTAAGCTGGGGAAAGCTCGGGAATGGGACAAGACTATGCTGTCATCCTTTACTTTCATGATGAATAAAAGGGAAAGTTGAACATGGAAATATGACAAGTGGAAAAGAGAAAATAATAAAAATGTTATTTGGGGTAATATGGTTTTCTATCTGGAAAACTCAAAGGAAGCAACTAAAACCCATGAAACTATTTGAGTTTTTTAAAAAAATGCTTTAAAATAAATATGATAAAAATCTATTTCTTTCCTTCTGTTTTGTTTTATTTTTTTGAAGTGGAGTCTCGCTCTGTTGCCCAGGCTGGAGTGCAGTGGCAAAATCTTGGCTCACTTCAACCTCCACCTCCTGGTTTCAAGTGATTCTCCTGTCTCAGCCTTCTGAGTAGCTGGGACTACAGGTGCCTGCCACCATGCCGGGCGAGTTTTTGTATTTTTAGTAGAAACAGGATTTCACCATGTTGACTGGGCTGGTCTCGAATTGCTGGCCTCAAGTGATCAGCCTCCCAAAGTGCTGAGATTACAGGCATAATCCACCGCACACAGCGATTTGCTTTGCCATTCTTAAAAAATGACCAATTGGGAAACAAAATCAACACATGTCAAATTTACGATAGCATACAAAAGAGTCCCTTAGTTGTAATTCAAGAAGGAGATGTTAACAAAAGTGAATTTCTAAGAAAAAAAAAAAATTAAAAAAAAAGAAGACTCCCTTAGATGATACTAAAGGAACAATGTGTAGGACTAATATAGAGAAAATAAGAGTTCAACAAGGGGACAACCATTTCCTGATGGAAAGATTCATTGTTGTCAAGGCGTCAATTATCTTGAATTTAATTTCTAAATTTAACATGATTTCAATCAAAATCCCAATCATATTTTGGAGGCTGGGGGTTGACTGAATACAATTCCAATAAAAATTCCATTGGTATTTTTAAAATCTTGATAAACTGATTCTAAAGTTTGCTTGGAAGAATAAACATGCAGTGATAGCCAAGAAAATGTTGAAGATAAGGATAATGAGGGAGGACTCGCCCTGCCAAGATACAGCATATTACAGAGCTACTATAATTAAAGCCCATATTGCTATACTAGAAGACAGATCAGTGGCACAGAATAGAAGGCCCAAAGACAGACCCCAGTGTATATGATTATTGAACATATAATAAAGTTGGCATTTGAAATCGGTGGGAAAGGATGAATTATTCAATAAAGGATGCTGGGACAATTGGATGCTGCTTTGGAAAAAAATGGCAAATTGGATTCCTATTTCACATTAGATTCCAAGAAATTACAGATGGACCAAAGAGTTTAAAGTGAAAATTATGCCCCATAAAAGTACAAAAAAATTCTAAAGAGTAGTTTTTATATGACCTTGGAGCATGAAGAAGGCTGTTTGAAGTGTACTTGGACTGTCTTTTTTTGTCCAGTTTTTCCTTTTAGTGGTTTAAAAGGAATACATAGTTTTTCCAATCTCATTTATTTATTTTTGAGACAGGGTCTCATTATGTTGCCCTGGCTGAAGTGCAGTGATGCAGTCACAGCTCACTGCAGTCCCAGCTTCCTGGGCTCAAGCAATCCTCCCGCCTCAGCTTCCAGAGTAGCTGGACTGCAGGCGTGCACCACCATGTCTGGCCAATCTTTTATTTTTATTTATTTATTTTTTCTTTTTTTTCTTTTCTTTTTCTTTTTCTTTTTCTTTTCTTTTTCTTCTCTTCTTTTTCTTTTTTCTCTTTTCTTTTTTGAGACGGAGTTTCGCTCTTGTTACCCAGGCTGGAGTGCAATGGCGCGGTCTCGGCTCACCGCAACCTCCGCTTCCTGGGTTGAGGCAATTCTCCTGCCTCAGTATCCTGAGTAGCTGGGATTACAGGCATGTGCCACCATGCCCAGCTAATTTTTTGTATTTTTTAGTAGAGACGGGGTTTCACCATGTTGACCAGGATGGTCTCGATCTCTCGACCTCGTGATCCACCTGCCTCGGCCTCCCAAAGTGCTGGGATTACAGGCTTGAGCCACCGCGCCCGGCCAATCTTTTATTTTTTGTAGAGATGGAGTCTCACTATGTTGCCCAGGTTCGTCTCAAACTCTTGGGCTCCTGCTTTGGCTTCCCAAAGTGCTGGGATTATAGACCTGAGCCACCATACCCAGTTTATATTCTTATTTTTACCCTTAATTGTTAACACACATATTTAAACTTATAATGTCCTGTATGAAATTTCTCAATATCTGTAATCTTTTGAGGAATATAAGAGTCAGCACATTTTAATTTTGTAACCCTCCTGCAACCCCCATGTCTTTTAACTTGGGTTTTCTTTGTTTCTCTGTGTCTTTCTCTGTTTCAAACTTTTGGTATTATGGAAAAGATTGGACATATGCAAAAGTAACAGATCAGTATAATGCATCCTTATGTGTGCACCACCAGTTCAATAATGATCACATCATGATCAATTTCTTTTTAATCTGTAATCCTCCCCTTTCTATCCTCACCTTAACATTCTGAAGTATTTTAAATTGATTTATTTTATCCATAAAGATTTTAAGAGGTATCCTCAAAGATAAGGATTCTATAACAAAAAAACTCAAGAACATTATCACACCAATTATTTTTAATTCCCTAATATCAGTAACAGTAATTCCCTAATGTCATCAGAAAGTGAGTATATCCATTTCCCGGATTGCCTTATAATTTTTTTTGACTATTGGTTTTTACCAATTAGAATCCACACAAGGTCCACATATTAAATTTCATTGATATGGGTTGATAGGTGCAACAGACCACCATGGCACATGTATACCTATGTAACAAACCTGTACGTTCTGCACATGTATCCTAGAACTTAAAGTAAAATTTAAAAAATCAGTTGATATGTTTCTTAAATTTCTTTGAATATATATGTTTCTCCTCACTTGCAGTCCCCTCTTGGTTTATTTGTTGAGGAAACCATATTCATTGCCTTGAAGTTTTCTACATTCTAGGTATTTGGGTGGAGGGCATTGGTTTATTGCATCCCTGTGGTGTCATTTAGTACATTCCTCTGTCACTTGTATTTTCTGTAAATCTGTAGTTGCATCAAGAGACTCTAACCAATCATGTCTGATTATTTGGCAAGAGTACTTCATACATAGTGATGTGAGCTGTCCTCAGTAGGCAAGTGGTATCTTTTTGCAATCTTAGCAACCATTGGTGACTGCCATGTAGACCCACTGTATTACTAGGGGTGGCCTTGAGTTTTCCTGTTCTATTTTCATTTACTGAGCATGTACTTTAGAAAGGCTTTGAGCTTGGCACCAAGCTCTAAAGCATGGCACGCGTCCTCCAGAAACCCGCAATCTAGGGGTTGTAAAATAAGATTTAAACACCAAGTCTGTAAAAGATGATTTGAACCAAAAAAAAACAGTTTTATTTTGTAGACATTCTTTCATTGTATCCCCCCACCCCCGAGTGATATAACCTCCAAATAGGGGAGCTATAGCATACATGCATTAAATTCAGACCAATTCAAATATGTCTATATATGTATTTGCTTGCAAACTATTAAAGTGACAATGTAAACGTTGCTGCCTATTTTTTCCCACTCTTTTATTAGATTGACATTGCGTTTGGTGAGATGGGGCATGAGTCTACCATCCTATTCCCTGTTTCCACATGTCCCTCATTGTATGAACACCTCTCTAAGTGTGATTCTAGGATTTAAAGATACATATTTCTTATGCACTATTCACCTAAACACAAGCCAACTACTTCATCTGGCACCTGATCCAGGAAACAGCATTCTGTTCCAAAATCAATAGAAGACCAGGCACTTTAAGGGATCTTCAAGGGAGTGTAATTTTGAGCATATGGAATCTTTCAAACCCTAGCTAACTTTAGAAGTTTAACTCCTATGGAAGGTGAAACATCTATGTACCCAAGAGTTTGACTTCAGCAAAGGACAAGCTACAGAAACTGACATTATTGTTTATTTTGGCATAAAGGCTTTCCTTGGCCCAGTTCAGTTTTAACGATCTTTTCCTCCCTTTGTCTCTCTTCCTCCTCTCCACTTTCCTTCCTCCCTTCCTTCCGCCCTGATTTTCTCTTTTGCAGTTTGCTGCTTTGTGGTGCACAAGAGGTGCCATGAATTTGTCACATTCTCCTGCCCCGGTGCTGACAAGGGTCCGGCCTCTGATGTAAGTAATGGGCATCGATCGCTTTTCTCTGCGCACAGTCAATGCTGCCTTGTGGTTAAATGTGAGTGAGCATGCTTAGACGAGTCAGTGTGGAAGATCTCATTCTAAGGCATGTGGAAACCTACAGCTTTTGAGACAGTTTTCCTTTTAGTGGAAAACAGAATGAAACAAGACATTTTGAGAGGGGGTGCGGCTGGATAGGAAACAGCTAGTTGGCCTATTATGATTTTGCTAATGTCTTCCCTTTGGGAGCTGAAGCATGGAGGGTGATAGGCAGGGGCCTACTTGGTAGTGTGGCTGCAAAAAGGTATTTTCGGTGGCACTTTACAGTGCACGTTATAGCACTTTGTTAGGGTGTTCTTTATTTTATTGTTATTATTTTTTAAGGTACAAAATCTTTCCATGTTGGCCAGGCTGGTCTCAAATTTCTGGGCTCAAGCAGTCCTCCTGCGTTGGCCTCCCAAAGTGTTGGGATTCTAGGCATGAGCCACAGCACACTGCTTGTTAGGGTGTTCTTAATATCAGGGCCCACGAATGAGGAAGAAATGAATGTATCCTGCTACTGTGAATATCAAAGTATGACTACTGCTAGTGGGAAAAGAGATGCTTGTAGGTAAAATATGCAAAAAAAAATTATTGTTTTAATTATGATAAATGTGCTTTAATGTGGATTGGGAAAAACATATCTAGTAGTAGTTTTGCATTTATGACAAGGATATAGAATTCGCTACCTACGTAAAGGTATTTAGGTTAAACAAAAGATAAGTTGATTTGAGCACAATATTAAGTGAATGACAGTATGGGTGATATAAGGATATGGTAAGAGTTTTGGTACAAATATGTTTAAAGTTTAGGGTACATTGTTGATTGGCCTACCCAGCAGCCATTCACAGCCTTCACCCTTCTGGCAGAGGCTACCTCTTAGACTGGAAGCTAAAGATTCCTGATATTTGCTTTCCCAGCTCTCTTGTAGCTTCTAAATGAGCATGTGACCCAATCCTGCTAATGGGAACTGAAGGGAAGACCTGGGAAAGATTCTAGGAAAGTTTTTTCCTTTCTGATAAGAGAGAGACATCCCTTCCCTTGTCTTCTTGGGCATTTTTTGTGCAAGGATATAATGCTTAGAGTTGTGGCAGCCCTTTTGGGTCAATGCGGGAGACACTGCTGACATCCTGAGCATGGCAGAGTGGAAGAGTTAAAAGAACCGTGGGTTCGTGATGATGCTGATGAGCTGCTGAGACCACTCACAGTCCTTTTAACCCCAAACTGGATAGATAGGATAAGAAGCTTTTCCCCCCCCCCCCCCAAAGTCTTATTGTTTGAGGCATTCTTTTTTATTTTTGTTATTTTTTTCTTTTGAGACAGAATCTTGCTCTGTTGCCCAGGCTAGAGTGCAGGGCACAATCATGGCTCACTCACTGCAGCTCAACCTCCCTGGCTAAAACAACCCTCCCAACTCAGCTTCCTGTGTAACTGGGACTAGAAGTGCCTGCCACCACACCTGGCAAATTTTTTATTTTTTTGTAAAGATAGGGTTTCCCTGTGTTGCCTAGGCTGGTCTCGAATTCCTGGGCTGAAGCCATCCTCCCACCTTGGCCTCCCAAAGTGCTAAAATTACAGGCATGAGCCACTGTGTCTGACCGTGGGGGGATTCTTTTACATGCAGCTGAAACTGTCCTGAGAAGACTTTCCACCATGCACAGTCTTTCAGTGCTCAATAACGAATGACATTCAGCATATCCCAATGCACCCATTGCCCCTAGTTCTTTTTCTTTCTTCCTGCTTTGATGCCCCTTCCTGGAATCTCTCCCATTGGCTTTGTCTCTATTACTGGTCCCGTTACCCACTTAGACTTGACAGCTCACAGCTTGCCCAAAGTGAGTGGTGACTATCTTCTGTCATTGAATTTCTTTAGTTCCTGCTTGTCTTCTGCAAATGGTCATCTGCCAATTTGCTGCGAACTGGGGTAGGAGTTGGGGGCGGGGGCATATCTGTTGCCATAGCAACACGAAGATGCTGGAGCATATGCTGGATATTCTTTGCTTGGAAGTTGAGATTAAGAACTCCAAGAAACATGGAACAATCAAAGTCCTTGAAAATTTGTTTGCAAAGATGAAGTTTGAGACTGTTTGTCATGTTCTCTCAGATGCTATGCCCTAGCCTTGTAGTGCAATTTCTTCTCTCCTTCCCAGGAAAACAGGCAGGGAAGTTTGGGGAGACTGCCCGACTCCAGTATGCAGCTCTGAGTGTTCATGCAGACTGAAACTTGATACTCAATCTGCAGCCAAGAGGATGGCGTTTCCCATATTCTGTCTGTATCTGCTGAATGTTTCTGTTGCCTAAGACAGAAACTCAGCTCAAACTGGCTTATATGAAAAGGAAAATTTTTGGTCCTTGCAATTGAAAAGGCCTAAGGGCTGACCTGGCTTCAGGCACAGTGAATCGAAGTTCCAAATAATGTCCTCGGGAACCTGTTTCTCTATTTCTTGGCTTAGCCTTTGTCTGTGTTGATTTTATTTTCAGGAAGAAAATAAAAGACATGCTCGCTCGTCTCCTATGCGAGCACGGTGGCTGCAACACCTTTAATCTTTTATCTTATCAGTGCTGCAGTACAGTAATAAGAGCTAAAGTCTCATTAGACCAAGAATCACATATAGCCAGAAGAGTGGGTTATGCTGATTGTCCAGGCCTGGGTATATGCTGCTGTGGTGTGAATGTTTCGTTTCTCCAAACTTGTATCCTGAAATCCTAACACCCAAGGTGGTGGTGTTAGAAGGTGAATCCTTTGGGAGGTGGTCAGTTCATGGGGAAAGAACCCTCATAAATGAGATAGTGCCCCTATAAAAAGACCCCAAAGATATCCCTCACCCCTTCTGCCATGTAAGGTTGCAATGAGAAGACAGTTGTCTACAAGAAAGTGGACTCTCACCAGAGACTGAATCTTCCAGTGCCTTGATCATGCACTTTCCAGCCTCCAGAATTGTGAGAAATAAATTTATCACTTAAAAACCGCTCAGGTTTCAGTATTTTGTTACAGCAGGCAGAAGGGACTTGGACAGAAAATTTTGGTACTAAGAGTATATAGAAGAGGCTGGGTGCGGTGGCTCACACCTATAATCCCAGCATTTTGGAGGCTGAGGCTGGTGGATCACAAGGTCAAGAGATCAAGACCATCCTGGTCAACATGGTGAAACCCCATTTCTACTAAAAATGCAAAAATTCGCCGGGTGTGGTGGCGTTTGCCTGTAGTCCCAGCTACTTGGGAGGCTGAAGCAGGAGAATTGCTTGAACCCAGGAGGTGGAGGTTGCGGTGAGCTGAGATCACGCCATTGCACTCTAGCCTGGGTAACAAGAGCGAAACTCTGTCTCAAAAAAAAAAAAAAAAAAAAAAAAGAGTATATAGAGGAACAAAATTTTAAGGATGGGTTTTCTGAATTGGTTTTGGGGATTTGGCAATTGGCTGCCTAATCTGATTAGATTTAAGAATGCTATCGACCGTATTTCTAGTAGTAAAGAGAACACGGATAGTCCATGGTGTGATCTGTTTATAGAGATAGAGAAAATACCTGCATTGGATACTCTTAATCAACCATTTGTAAGAAGCAAGGAGCCAAGTGGTTCCATACGTGATACTCAAATACTTTTGGAAAACTAAGGCACATAATGACTTGCTCCTAATGTCTCTGGATTAAGTGGAGAAACAAAAAGATGAGCTCAGGGATTTGAATTCCCAGCTCAAAGTGTTGCGTAAACGATCTAAGAGCTTCTAGGTGTGCTCTGAAGGAGGGCCTTCTAGCCTGTAGCTGCAGGGATGAAATTTCTGAAAATTAAATGCCCACCTCATCCTTCAATTGGCTGAATTACAATGCAAATTGAACTCCCAACCACACAGCATGTCTGCTGTAAAAGCAAGGGCAAGGGCATTGATCAGAAAAGAATGGGATCCTATAAGGTGGGAAGACTCTGATGAAGACCCTGATGAAGCTCGGGACATTGAGCCCCTAAATTCTGACGAGTCTTTTTTACCAGTGGAAGTGGCCTCCCTGCCTCCAGAAAAAGTGCCATCCATGCCAGGCTCACTGGCTTATGCCTGTAATCCCAGCACTTTGTGAGGCTGAGGTTGGCAGATCACCTGAGGTCAGGAGTTCAAGACCAGCCTAACCAACATGGAGAAACCCCGCCTCTACTTAAAAAAAATACAAAATTAGCCAGGCGTGTTGGCAGGTGCCTGTAATTCTAGCTACTTGGGAGGCTGAGGCAGGAGAATCACTTGAATCCGGAGGTGGGGGTCATGGTGAGCTGAGATCACACCACGGCACTCCCACTTGGACAACAAGAGCAAAACTCCATCTCAAAAAAAAAAAGTGTTATCCCCACCTTTCTACCTTGTCTTAGGGGACTTTCCCTGCATTGCCCTAGGAAACAGTAATGGCCTTCCCTGAGGCAGTTCCTATGCCAGACAATGCTGATTCTTTTTGGTAACCAATCCCACCACCTCTTCAAGTCCCAGCAGGCTCCTAAAAGTGAGGTGCACAGTGTAATCCACGAGGAAGTACAGTGCACCCCAAAAGAACTACTTGAGTTCTCTAATTGTACAAGTAGAACCATAGGGAACATGCATAGGAATGGATATTAAGTGGGTAGGATAATGGTGGAAGTTACATAAAGTTGGATCAGGCTGAATTTATTGATAGAGGTTCACTAAGCAGAGATTCTGAATGTTATGTTTCAGCTTAAGGAGTTAGGAAGGGCTCTAACAGTTTAGCTGGTTGGCTGAAATATGGATTAAAATATGGCCCATCATGAGTGAGTTGGAGATACCTGACCTCCCCTGGTTTAATGAAGAGGAAAGGATTCAAAGTCTTAGGGAAATTAGAATGCTAGAGTGGATTTGTCATTTAATACCTGCTCACCCATGCTGGGAAGGTCAGATGTACCTTGAAGAAAGGTATGTCTTTCTCAGTACTTTGAGAAATAAATTTGAGGGGAGTCCCAGCATC